CCAGAACGTTTTGCAGACAGCTCCCAAAGAGAACAATCCTCACAAGAAAAAACAAGCTTTTAATCCTTAGATATGGAACTCCCCCATCACAAAATAATTTGTCAACACCGTCATCCAGCTCACTATTTTTAAATGTGAGTAATGAGTAAATTTCATTTATGAAACTATTCGCACTAAATACAGATGTTTAAAAAAACACAGACTAAAGAAATGTTTGATGTTATTTCTAGGCTTGTCACAATAACCAATAAATCAATTAATCGCATGATAAATGAAAATGATCAAACTCATTTCAATTAACCAACATTTCTTCTTCAATTTCACAATTGCTAATTATTGTCAAATTTCAAACAATATTATCGTTTATCGCAATAATTTCTGAGACAATTAATTGCCCAGCAAAATTTGTTATGGTGACAGGCCTAGTTGTTTCTTATGGCTACAGTTAATAGCTGTTAACTGGAAAACAGAATCAGACGACAACCACAAGTAAATAATACTACAATAAAATATTTGGATCCATCATATTGTCTTGAACTGTAGTTTTACTGTTTGTTATAACTTTTTTTATTTTTTTTTTTACCTTTTAGAAACTTTTAAAAAAACTACAGATTGACGACAATCAAGACTCACTAGGTTCAAAGTATAAATAAATTTTTTGTCATTCTAACATGAACATTTTAGAAGCCCTTATAGCCTCAAATGAGGTGTTGATGGAAAAAGACTGAAATTATTGCACAAAAAATCTGTACGAACAAACTAGAGGGAATATGTAAAAGGTATTCGCCACAGCTGCCAGTCTGTTGGAAATGATGCTACAGTACTCGGTTAAGAATATACAAAAGTGCTTTTTTTGTGGAAAAAGATGAGTTTAAGTTTTGCTGACTCAGTCAGGTCTTGTCAGGAAAACCTTGCTCTTCAGATAATCTGGAGTCTTTTGCTTTAGTTATCAATGGTTAAAAAATATATATATTTGGAGACTCACAGATGTGCTGTTTTATTTTAATGATGAGGTTTATTGATGTTTAGCAAATAATTTGTTTTTATTTTGCAGGGAGCAGTGGAAGACTTAGAATGCACAGAAATATCTCCTGAGCACACAAACAAAAAGAGCCCTCCACATGAGAGTACGCAAAACACAACGAGCTTCAAATGAGCTGCACAGTCTTTGTAATTAGTTCTCTGCAAAGACACCAATTGTCCCGGTCTGCGAGTGAACTTTATGGACACAGGCTCTCTTTGTGTATCCAGAACAGGGAGTTCCTCTGCTGGCTGTAATGATAATTGTGGGAGACAGTCTTCATAATTTTGTCGATGGCCTGGTTGTCGGGGCGGCCTTCTCTTCTTCAGCTGAGACTGGCATGGCAACTACTGTGGCCATCCTGTGTCATGAAATCCCACATGAGATAGGTAAGAGATCATCTCTGTTTTATTTTGCAGACCGAGAAAAAAAAAACTGTTCTTTACGAACATTATGTTTTTTTTTTTACTTTTAGGAGACTTTGCGGTGTTACTTAGCTCTGGGCTCTCGGTAAAAACTGCTGTGCTGGTGAACTTCCTCAGCGCTCTGACAGCGTTTCTCGGCCTCTACATTGGACTTTTTGTGTCCTCTGAGACAGAAGTGCAGCAGTGGATCTTCTCTGTGACCGCAGGGATATTTCTCTATTTGTCACTGGTGGAAATGGTAAGACCATCTCCTAATATAATGAACTTAGTGGTTTTCTTACGACAGTGAAGTCATCTAAAGACAAAAAATATATTGATCTGGTGTAATAGTACCATTTGTCTTTGATATTTCGATTCAATTAACAAAACTTTACTGCGCTACCTAAATTATTTTGACTTGAATTTTCAAATTATTTTAGAACATTAAATTTTCCCCTGAAATTTATCACCAACTTCTTGTCAGCTTAAGATGAGTTCCTTCTTTTTGCCAAATACTACTAAAGTACTTCTCGGAGCAGATGTTCCAGCCTAAATCCATTTTTTAATTAAACTGCTGAAAGTTTTGCTTTTTCCATCACTAGCTTCCAGAGATGAGTCGAGTGAAGACAGACAGGCCAGGTCTTGTTTTTCTCCTGCAGAACCTTGGGCTCCTGATGGGTTGGACCTGCCTTCTGTTGCTTGCGTTCTTCGAACATGAGCTCAAATTCTGAATGCAGCGTACAACTCCTACACAATATTTGACTTGATTATCATCTGCTCTTCACAGCTGCAAGCATTAGTTTCTGCAGACAAATGATTGGATTGGATTGGATCGTAAACTTTTATCTCGGGCAGGAGTCAAACTTCCTTTGTTCTCCATTTATATTTTCAGACATTTATAATCCTGCATTATGCAGTTGTATCAGGAGTATTTCTACCAGTACACATAAAACCATACTGTACGGGGGCACCAGGAGGAGACTTGCTGTAGTGCATCAGATCTGCACAACCGGATTTTATGACCAATATATTTGATTTGAGAATTTGTTTTGCAACAATATCAAGCTCACATCAAGAGATGAGAGGTACCTGCCCCTTTTTTCAAAAGCCAGTGGCAGTGGGTGGATTTTTTCCTTCCATCTGTGTCAAGCAAACAATCTTCATGTTGCTGGACGCCAAGAAGCTGACACATTTTGCTCTAGTTATAATAAATAAACTTAAATATGAGTAAATTCTTCCATAAATGCTAGAATAATACCTCATTTAAGTGTGAACTGTGTGAGCAAACAGCTTTGTGAACAGGCAGTGAGTTCCTGAAAAGTCACTAAGATTCTATTGGTGTACAAACCAGATTCCAAAAAAGTTGGGACACTAAACAAATTGTGAATAAAAACTGAATGCAATGATGTGGAGATGGCAAATGTCAATATTTTATTCGTAATATAACATAGATGACAGATCAAAAGTTTAATCTGAGTAAATGTAACATTTTAAAGGAAAAATATGTTGATTCAAAATTTCACAGTGTCAACAAATTCCAAAAAAGTTGGGACAAGTAGCAATAAGTGGCTGGAAAAAGGAAATTGAGCATATAACAAACAGCTGGAAGACCAATTAACACTAATTAGGTCAATTGACAACATGGTTGGGTATAGAAGACAGAAGACAAGATGGTAAGAGGATCACCAATTCCACCATTGTTGCGCAGAAAGACAGTGCAGCAATACCAGAATGGTGTTACCCAGCGTAAAATAGCAAAGACTTTTAAGTTTTCATCATCAACCGTGCATAACATCATCAAAAGATTCAGAGAATCTGGAACAATCGCTGTGCGTAAGGGTCAAGGCCGTAAAACTCTACTGGATGCTCGTGATCTCCGGGCCCTTAAACGTCACTGCACCTCAAACAGGAATGCCACTGTCAAGGAAATAACAGAATGTTCTCAGGAATACTTCCAGAAAGCATTGTCAGTGAACACAATCCACCGTGCCATCCGCCGTTGCCAGCTGAAACTCTACAGTGCAAAGAGGAAGCCATTTCTAAGCAAGCTCCACAAGCTCAGACGTTTGCACTGGGCCAGGGGTCATTTAAAATGGAGTGTGGCAAAATGGAAGACTGTTCTGTGGTCAGATGAGTCACGATTTGAAGTTCTTTATGGAACACTGGGACGCCATGTCATCCAGACCAGAGAGGACAAGGATAGCCCAAGTTGTTATCAACGCTCCGTTCAGAAGCCTGCATCACTGATGGTATGGGGTTGCATGAGCGCTTGTGGCATGGGCAGCTTGGATGTCTGGAAAGGCACCATTAATGTAGAGAACTATGTTCAGGTTCTAGAACAACATATGCTCCCATCTAGACGTTATCTCTTTCAGGGAAGACCCTGCATTTTTCAACACGATAATGCCAGACCACATTCTGCAGCAATCACAACATCATGGCTACGTAGGAGAAGGATCCGGGTACTGAAATGGCCAGCCTGCAGTCCAGATCTTTCACCTATAGAGAACATTTGGTGCATCATAAAGAGGAAGATGCGACAAAGAAGGCCCAAGACGACTGAACAGTTAGAGGCCTGTATTAGACATGAATGGGAGAGCATTCCTATTTCTAAACTTGAGAAACTGGTCTCCTCTGTCCCCAGACGTCTGTTGAGTGTTGTAAGAAGAAGGGGGGATGCCACACAGTGGTAAAAATGGACTTGTCCCAACTTTTTGGGGATTTGTTGATGCCTTGAAATTTGGAAACAACAGATTTTTCCCTTAAAATGATACATTCTCTCAGTTTAAACTTTTGATCTGTGATTTGCGTTCTATTCTGAATAAAATATTAGTTGTTGGCACCTCCACATCATTGCATTCAGTTATTATTCACAATTTGTTTAGTGTCCCAACTTTTTTGGAATCCCGGTTTGTACTAACAGATTTATACTAAAAGACCAATGCCAATGAGTTATGTTGTATTTCTATCTACTTGCGTCTTTTAAATCAGCGGGTGTAAATTCACACTACACAAAAATGTTACTTTTTTATATTTTGTATTAGCGAAACAAATGAAATGTAATTTAAAAAATATTTCTCATTGCCAACATATTAAATATTGCAAATCTTGTTTGTTTTTTTTCCCCCTTGTCTGAATGTGCTTTTAAACAGACTGAGAACGTACTGTAAAAATAAAGATTAAGTGTGTTGGTTTTGTACACTTCTACTAAAGCAGTTAAATGTGTTAAAAGTATGTACTTTGTCCAAATAAATCTACAATATAAGAAACGGGGGCACTTGTTTTTCTTGAAAAACTTAAGCTAAAGACATGTTTAACATCCTGAGGCCCTGGGCCCTCATATGAGGACGTTAGGTTTTTTAGGGAAGTGCTCATCATAGAAAGCTGATTTTATTTATTTTTGAGTAATTCAGACCTTCTGACCCCAGCTTGCAAAGAAAAATATAAAATGCAAAAGTAAACCTACTGTCCTCACATGAGGACATCAGTTTTTTTCTAAAACTACTTCCTGTACTATGACAGAGTCTAAGTATTTACCGGTAACTTACTAGATGCTACTAACCCCACGTACCTTGGAGAAAGAGAATGCAAACCAAACAAAAGCTTGAGTCTCAACACAATTTCAAATGTTATTTTATTCCATTAGCTTTTTCCAGCAGGATGACTGCATGCCATATATGTAAGTATATATATATATATATATATATATATATATATATATATATATATA